CTTTTCAGTGTTCAAATCACCTCTGTTGTTTTACTGCACAAGATACATAATGTGAATATGTTGTGTTCATGGATATGAACTTTAAAACATGTATCTTCTTTGATTTTATCAATTTGTTTCAGTATGACCCATGGCCCATATGTATCAACATTACTTGATATATCTGCTAAACAAGATTCTGGAGCCCTATCACAAAACTACTAACCTAATGATCAGACCCATGTATGATCAGGAAATATTTCTAATAAGCACTCCATCTGCATACTGAATTTCGAGACCCACTAGATTGAACGATCATTTCTTAGCTTTTCTTACAAACAGTATCTTCGTAAAACTCTTACACAAAAGTTTGCCAGGTAGCTATTATAAACTATATATTCCCAAATATACCTTGTCCTTTTCCAGTTCTTCATATGGTTTTAACTTTCTGTCCCAATCCTTTTACAAATTCTATCTATTCTAATAGGCAGGCTCAAATGCAACTCCATCATGAAGACTTCAACGATAGTACTCCTCTTAAATGTCATAGCACTTGGTCTTATCAATGTAATCATACTACGCTATACCAAATAAAATTGTTATCCATTACATAAGCTCCTCCTGGACAGCAAGAACAGTACCTATCTTAGTATGTCACTGTAAATAATATTAAATAAATATTTAGTATAAATAAAGGATGATGAACTGCTCCCAACAAATTAGTGAAAACAAATATTATATTTCTCTGGGAGATGAAAGAACTGATGGAAACCAAATGTCTAAGGTACTACTTCTACAAGGAAACACCTGGGCAGTATTTGGCAAACGGTAGATACTCCGTGTTTTCTGAATGGATGGCTCCATTGGCTGAACGAAACTATGAACTAGCTGACAGAAAAGAACTAAATTCTTCAGAAAAGTAGAGTTAGTTACCATGATATTGTACTATAACTTTCTCCTGGGTGTTCAGACAAGAACTTTATGTATAAAGTTGGAAAAATATGAACATTTAATTACATTTCTTCATATAGAAATGTTTCAATATAGTTTGCTTCCTATTTGTACATTATTTTATTAATATTTAACAGATTTTATACTAGACATGTCTCAAGATTTTTGCCAACCCTCTACTAAGGCAATTTAGGGGAGAAGAGTACTGATACAAAACCATCTCCTTCTCTATCAATTTAGTATTTTTCAAGGTGTTTGAAATTCATTAATATCTCAGAAGATACTGTTGATTATTGTTACCTTAGTCCTATTATAAAGTATCAGAAATAACAAGATCTGAATAATTTAATAT